GAAAACACTTAAGTTTGCTTTCTTAGCAAATCTCAGTTATGTAGTATGATTATTATCAACTATAGTCACCATGTTATACATTAGATCCTCAAACCTTATTCACTTACAACTGAAATTTTGTACCCTTCTACTAACCTCTCCCTATTTCCCCCATGCTCCAGTTCCAACCACTTTTCTGCCTTCTTTATGAGTTTGACTTTTTTTTTTTCAGATTCCACGTACGAGTTGACACCATGCAGTATTTGTCTTTCTCTGTCTGGCTTATTTCACCTCACATACTGCCTTCCATGTTCACTCATGTTGTTGCAAATGACAGGATTTCCTTTTTTTTTTTTTTTTTTTTTTTTTTTTTTTTTTAGCTGAATGATATTGCATTGTGTTTATATATATACCACATCTTTACCCATTCATCCATCAACAGACACTTAGGATATTTCTATACCTTGGCTATTGTGAATAATGCTGTAATCAACGTGAGAGTACAAATATCTCTTTGAGGTAGTGATTTCATTTCCTTTGAACATATACTCGTAAGTAAGATACCTGCATCATATGGTAATTCTATTTTTTTATTTCTTGAGGAATTTGCAAACTGTTTTCCATAGTGGTTCTATCAGTTTACATTCCCAGCAGTGTACAGGGGTTCCCTTTTGTCTATATTTTTGTCAGTACTTGTTATCTTTTGTGTTTTTGATGAGAGTCACCATAACAAGTGTGAGGTGATACCTCATTGTGGTTTTGATTTTCATTTGCCTGATGATTCGTGATGTTGAGCATCTTTTCATGTGTCTCTTAGCTACCTGTATATCTTCTTCAGAAAAATGTCTCTTCGGGTCCTTTGCCCATTTATTTTTTTGATCAAGTTGCTTTTTTGTTGTTGACTTTATGACTTCCTGGTATATTTTGCATATTAACCCTTTTCCAGATAAGTGGTTTGGAAATATTTCTTCCCTTTTTATGGGTTACCTTTTCATTTTTGTTGATGGTTTCTTTTGTTATTCAGGAGCTTTTCAGTTTGGTATAGTCCTACCTGTTTATTTTTGGTTTTATTGCCTTGGCTTTAGCTGTCAAATCCAAAAATCTCATTGCAAAGACCAGTTTCAAGGACCTTCCTCCCTATATTTTCTTCTGAGAGTTTTATAGTTTCAGGTCATAATTCCAGTCTTCAATTTGAGTTAATTTTTGTGTGTGGTGTAACATAGTGGTCCAGTTTTATTTTTTTGCATGTAGATGTCCACTTTTCCACATTCCACTTATTAAGGAGACTGTCCTTTTTCTGTTGTATATTCTTGGTTCCTTTGTTGAAAATTAATTGACCATATATGCGTAGGTTTTTTACTGGGCTCACTGTTCTTTTCTGTTGATCTGTGTGTCTGCTTCTATGCCAATACCATTCTGTTCTGATTACTGTGGCTTTGTAATATATTTTGAAATGAGGAAGTGTGATGCTCCAGCTTTGTTCTTTCTCAAGATTGCTTTGGCTGTTTCGGGTCTTTTGTGGTTCCATGTGAATTCTAGGATTGTTTTTTCTATTTCTGTGAAAAATGCTATTGAAATTTTGATAGAGATTGCATCGAATCTGTAGATAACTTTGTGTAGTATGGACAAATACTACAAATACAAATGGACAAATACAAATATTTTAATAATATTAATTCTTCCAATCCATAAACATGGAATATCTTTCAACTTATTTGTGTCTTCTTCAGTTTCTTTCATCAATATCCTTATAGTTTTCAGTGTACAGATCATTCACTTCCTTGGTTAAATTTATTCCTAAATACTTTATTCTTTTTATTGCTTTTGTGAATGGGATTGTCTTCTTAATTTCTCTTTCCAATAATTTGTTGTTAGTGTACAGAAAATAATTTAATTTTTGATAACTATAAACTTACTATTGCCATTTGTTAATTGTTTTCTATTTTGTAGCTCATTTGTTCCTTTCTTCCTTTTGTTCTTTCTTTGTGATTTGATGACTTTGGTTTTATTGGTATGCTTTGATATCTTTATCTTTTGTTGTATCTATTATAAGTTTTGCTTTGTGATTACCATGAGACTTACATAAAACATCTTGTAGTTATAATAGCCTATTTGAAGCTGATAATAACTTCAACACATGTGAAATCTCTACATTCTTGCACTCCTTCACATTTTATGTTTTCGACATCACCGTTTACATCTTTTTATATTACTTGTCCGTTATCAAATTATTGTAGTTACCGTTATTTTTGTCTTTGTTTTTTAACCTTCATACTAGAGTTACAACTGACTTATCCTTTACCATTACAATATTAGAGTATTCTGAATTTAACCACAGTTGGCCCTTCCTTGAACAACACAGGTTTGAATTGCACAGATCCACTCATAGGTGGATTTTTTTTCAATAAACACAGTGCGGTACTGTAAGTGTATTTTCTCTTCTTCATGATTTTTTTAAAATTTTTTTTAATGTTTCTATTTATTTTTGAGACAGAGAGAGACAGAGCATGAGCAGGGGAGGGGCAGAGAGAGAGGGAGACTCAGAATCCAAAGCAGGCTCCAGGCTCCGAGCTGTCAGCCCAGAGCCCAATGCAGGGCTTGAACTCACACACCGCGAGATCATGACCTGAGCCGAAGTCGGACGCTCAACCGACTGAGCCACCCAGGCGCCCCTCTTCATGATTTTCTTAATAACATTTTCTTTTCTCAGGCTTACTTTATTGTAAGAATATAGTATGTAATACATATACAAAACATGTGTTTACTGACTGTGTTAATGGTAAGGCTTCTGGCCAACAGTAGGCAATTAATAGTTGGTTAGTCGGATGTTGTACATGGATTTTCAACTATGCATGGGATTGGTGTCCCTGACTCTCTAATTGTTCAAGGTCAACTGTATATATTTACCATTACCAGTGGTTTTATAGTTTCATATGCTTTCATGTTATTAATCAACATTCTTTGAAGGACAGCTTTGCTGGGTAGATTATTCTTGGCTGACAGGTTTTTCTCTTTCAGCACTTTGAATATATCCCTCCTGGTCTCCAAGATTTCTGTTGAAATATCTGCTTATCATCTTACGGGAGTTCCCTTGTAACAAGTTGCTTTTCTCTTGGGGCTTTTAAGATTCTCTCTTTGTCTTTAACTTTTGACACTTTCATTATAATGTGTCTCATTGTGGATCTCTTTATTCATCTTATTTGGTAATTTTTGTGCCTATTGGATCTGGATCTTTCTTTCCCCAGGTTAGGTAAGTTTTCACCCTTTTTAATAAGCTTTCTGCTCCTTTTTCTTTGTTTTTTTCTTCTGGGGCCCCTATGTGTGTTAGTGTGCTAACTATTGATCCTGTAAGTCCCTTAAGCTATCTTAATTCTTTTTCATTTTTTTTTTCTTTTTGCTCCTCTGTTTAGATGAATTCCTCTATCCTGTCTCTGAGTTCACAGATCCTTTCTTTCATTTGGTATAGTCTGCTGTTGAACCCCTGTATGGAATTTTTCAGTTCAGTTATTGTATTCTTCAGCTCTGTGATTTCTGTTTGGTATTTTGTTAACATTTTCTGTCTTTTTGTTAAAATTCTCATTTTATTTATGCATCACTCTCCTGACCTTAGTGATCATCTTTATTACTCTTATTTTTAACTCTGTTGGGAAAATCACTTACTTTTGTTTTATTAAGATAGGTTTCTGAATAGAATTCTTTTGTTATTTTGTTTGGAATACATATATTGACTCTCTATGTTGGTTTCTGTGCATTACATAAAACTGTCATCTCTTCCAACCTAGGTACACTGGACTTACATAGGAAATGAACTTTGCCCATCAGCCCAGCCTAAGTTCCTGGTTGCCTCTCAAACCTTTATGCCTAAGCTGCCATCCCTGTTCTTAGCGGCTCTCAGTGGTTGACATTGTGCCAACCACTGTAAGTGTCCCAAAGAGGAGGATCGTAGTCAGGACCTCCATACCGGCTGATTGGAAGCCAAACTCTCAGGTGGCACCTGGGAAGTATGCAGTTAAACCTCTTCCAGGGAGAAATTGGAAAATGGGTATTTTTGCCTGGCTCTGTCTGTGCTGAGCCCAGGTATCTAGCCACTGGGCACAGGGTGCTGCTTCACTGATTTAAAAACTGCTTCTTTGTTTTGGATAGTCCTGTGGGACTCATGAATGCCAGCCCCTCTGACTGGCAGAGCTGGGTGATTTGGAGCCCCATCCCCTCACATGACAGCCATAAAAGTTGGGGTGCTAGATGTGTGGACAAGCTCATAAAGGAACTATTTTATATAAAGTTCTTTAGAGACAACGTATTTAATCAGATGGCACCAAGAGCTTAAAATGTATTTGTATAAAACATCTTTTTCCTCAAGAAAATTTAGTATTCTTCCATGGTGAAGACAGATTGTCACAAAAATGCTATAAGATTTATGCAAACATTTTTTTTTAATTTTTTAATGTTTTTATTTATTTTTGAGACAGGGAGAGACAGAGCATAGCAGGGGAGGGGCAGAGAGAGAGAGAGACACAGAATCCGAAGTAGGCTCCAGGCTCTAAGCTGTCCGCACAGAGCCCGATGCGGGGCTCGAACTCACAGACTGTGAGATCGTGACCTGGGCCAAAGTCGGACGCTTAACTGACTGAACCACCCAGGCACCCCACAAACATTTCTTTTAGAAGTATTGGAATAATACAAAGTATTAATATATTTCCTGTTTAAATGAGATTTATGGTTAAACCTCATATGCCCAAAATTAATCACGAGCTACGTGTATGTGGCTGTACTGTACTTCTAATGTGTGGTGAGATTGCTCCTTTTTAAATTTTGTGGTTTATGAGTAAAGAATTTGTTAAATACCAACAATGTATTAAATATATATTTATATATATTTTAAGCACAATATAATGTATGATAAAATAGGGCTTGTATTTACCATTATATGTGGTAAAGATGGCTGAACCTATAACACTTAATTCTGAGAAACAACCATTGTTCTAAAAGTAAAAACCTAAAAATTATTTTTAATTTTCTAGGTAGTTCTTTGTGGAGGGTCTTCTCGCATCCCAAGACTACAGCAGCTGATTAAAGATCTTTTCCCAAATGTTGAGCTTCTGAATTCTGTCCCTCCTGATGAAGTCATCCCTATAGGTGCAGCTATAGAAGCAGGGATTCTTACTGGCAAAGAAAACCTTTTAGTCGAAGAGTCTCTTAAGATAGAGTGTTCAGCCAAAGATATTTTAGTTAAGGTATGTTTAGCTTTTCTTTACTTTTCCATAAAAGTAGTATAAATTTATTGCCATATTTATTTATATATACCATGTTTTTACAGTAAAACCTTGTATACTGGTAAAAATTTTAAATTTAGATTTATAATTTTACGTTTAATGAGTTTCTTATGTTCTTTAAGTTAGCATTTACTTAGCATGTTAATTTCTTAATTGTAATTTTAATCAGAAGCTTCACATACAGATAGAGGGATACATGTTTCAATTTATTGTTAAGTGAAGTAGGTTGGGATTCAGGATCATTTCTTTTTTTTTTTTTTTTTTTTTTTTTTAATTTTTTTTTTTTTTCAACGTTTATTTATTTTTGGGACAGAGAGAGACAGAGCATGAACAGGGGAGGGGCAGAGAGAGAGGGAGACACAGAATCGGAAACAGGCTCCAGGCTCTGAGCCATCAGCCCAGAGCCCGACGCGGGGCTCGAACTCACGGACCGCGAGATCGTGACCTGGCTGAAGTCGGACGCTTAACCGACTGCGCCACCCAGGCGCCCCATCAGGATCATTTCTGTGTTCTTTGCCTATGTTGTCAGTCAGGAATAAGTATTACATTTATAATAGGAATGGCTTTATAATTGTAATGGTAAATATCAAAGGATACGGATATTATTTTTCTGCTTATTAGGGAGTCGATGAATCAGGAGCCAAAAGCTTCACAGTACTGTTCCCATCAGGGACTCCTTTGCCGGCTCGAAGACAACACACATTACAAGCCCCCGGAAGTATATCTTCAGTATGCCTTGAACTCTATGAGTCTGAGGGGAAGAACTCTGCAAAAGAGGAGGACAAGTTCGCACAGGTGAATACATAAAATTAGACAATGAATTAGTCATGTGAAGCTGCTTAACTTTTCCTTCTGCATTAACTCAACTTAATATCTATTAACATAAAATGTATATAGGGTATCTAACACATTTTTATGAATGAATTCTTTTTAAAATTTTTATTTATTTTTAATCTTTTTAATATTTTAGGTTTTTTTTAAGTTTATTTATTTTGAGAGAGAGACCGAGACAGCACCAGTAGGGGAAGGGCAGAGATAGGATCTCAAGCACACTCTGCACTACCAGCGTGGAGCCCAACGTGGGGCTTGAACTCACGAAATTGGGAGATCATGACCTGAGCCGAAAAGAAGAGTCTAATGCTCAAACGACTGAGCCACCCAGGAGCCCCTACTTCCTTTTTTAAAAATTTTATTTATTTATTTATTTTGAGAGAGAAGGAGCGTGAGTGGGGAGGGAGGGAGGGAGGGAGAGAGAGAGAGAGAGAGAGAGAGAGAGAATCCCAAGCAGGCTCTGCACTGTTGGTGCAGAGCCCCACACAGGGCTCAAACTCACGAACTGGGAACTGTGAGATCATGACCTGAGCTGAAACCAAGAGTTGGGTGCCTAACCTACCGAGCCACCCAGGAGCCCCACTACCTAGAGAAGAGATAAGCAATTTTAATTTCAAAAAGTCACAAGAAAATAAAATACAATATGTATTTTTTTCTGTTTATCTTTGTACTCTTGGCCCTCCTTGGTAATATGTAAGCAGTAGGGAAAATGGCTTTTTTTGTTTACTAACGTGCCACGTGATTAGGCAATTTACAAACCTAATCTCAAAGTGCTGTGAGATAGACATTATTATGGTCATTTTATAGATGACTGAAAAACAAGCTCATGGCAATAAATACTTTGTTCTTTTCCTGGTTGAGCTAAAATTTATCCTCAGTTGGTTTTATTCCTGGGCGCTTGCTCTTGCCATTATTACCCTTCTGCCTCTGATACAGACACCTTTGCTTTTTCAAAATACCACATTCATATTTCATACTATAGAGTCCTCTGCATTCTTTAATAGGAATGAAATGGAGCCACATTATCTGCTTAGAAACATGCCCCCCAAATATAATTACATTAAAACACACATACAAAGACGGCAGAGCTTTATTTACAGTATGATATCATTTGTGTTTAAATAAAAAGTTTGAGAGCATGAGTGTGTGTGAGGGAGGTGGTGTTTGTGACGGTGTGTGTATAAATATCCAAGCATAGATAGAGAAAATATCTATAAGTATTTCAACTATATTTAGGAAATCTAACAGTGGGTAGATTTGAAGGTACCAAGAGGGTTTCTTTTTTCTTTTTTTACTTGTTACCACTTTGTACTGAGTCTTTAACAAGCAGCACAGGACCTGAGCATGAAATACTTCTATAGTGAAAAACAAATGTGGGTAACTGAAGAGAACGTGTAGTGTCTTCAGCATTATATCTATTCTCTGATTTCAACGAAAGAATGATGAAAACACACACACACATACATAACATATCTGGGCTGCACCTCAGACATCTTAGAATCTAGTGGAGTGGGGCTCCTTCGACTAGTCAAGCTTTCAAAAGCTCATCCAGATGTTTCTGATGTGAATTACTCTACAAGCACTTTCCTGTGTACTGTATTTTTAAAAATTTTTTTATTAGTTTTCTTTATTTTTGAGAGGCAGAGAGAGACAGAGTACATGTCGGGGGGGTGGGGGGGCAGAGGGAGAGGGAGACACAGAATCCGAAACAGGCTCCAGGCTCTGAGCTGTCAGCACAGAGCCTGACGCGGGGCTTGAACTCATGAGCCGCGAGATCATGACCTGAGCTGAAGTCAGATGCTCAACCGGACTGAGCCACCCAGGTGCCCCTGTGTACTGTATTTCTAAACTCATTTGGCTGTCTTAGTATTCCCTCAGCTTCTTTCTCCTGTGCATTTATTTCCCTTCATACACTCCTCCGAGGCTGCAGCTGTTGTCACCGTATCCTAACTTACAGATGCCAGGAGCAGAGTTAGTCACCTAATACTGAATTTGGAAGATGTTCTTTTAGAGATCCCATCTGTTCTAACCTCCTCATTTTACAAATGAGTAAATCAAGGTACATGGTGCTTGCCTAAGGTCATAAAACTTGATATTGGCAAATCTGAAAAGTCACTTCCAAACTTGGTTTATTGGTATACCTTTTTTTTAGGAAACCAAAGCATTTTATAGTAAATTCATTAATATCTCGTTTGTACAAATGTACAAGTGTAATCTTAGTTGTACAAAAGAATTTGCCATGTGTTTCTTTAAATTGGTTTTCCAAGTGTATTTAAAATATTTGAATTTTTAAAAGTACATGTAGTAAGGGTATACCAAAATATTGGCACCTGGGTGGCTCAGTTGGTTAAGCATTTGACTCTCAATTTTGGCTCAGGTCATGATCATGCGGTTCGTGGGTTCGAGCCTTGTGTCGGGCTCTGTGCTGACAGTGCAGAACCTGCTTGGGATTCTTTTTCTCCCCCTCTCTCTGCCCCTCCCCTGCTCTCTCTCAAAATAAATAAATAAACTTATATTTAAAAAAGGAGTATATACCAAAATATAACTTACATGTTACTGGAAATGGCTTAATTATCAAAAAGGAAAAGCAGTCTTTATTTTCTGAGACAAAGAATATTTCATAGAAACAATCATTTTAGTCTAGGGCATGACATTTAAGAGGAACAGATATATATGTTGTCCTTCTAGAGGAGACATTTCCAGTTAGGAAAGCTTAATCCTATTTTCAGATTCTGGTAAATGGTAGAAAAATTGAGAACTGCCCTATTTGAAAAGGTTTGTTCCAGTAATGAGTAAAATTTGGTCTGTTGGAATAACTGATGCATCAATTTATTAATATATCAAAGTACTAAATCATCTTTGTATTATTTTTACATAAACAGGTTGTACTCCAGGATCTAGATAAAAAAGAAAGTGGATTACGTGATATTTTGGCTGTTCTTACTATGAAAAGGTACAAAATTAAACTACTTCTGATATTAAGAAAATTTACTTTGGGGCTTGACCTTTTTCATTTATTGATTCTCCACCCGTTGTTATTCCAGGAACATCATGTATTAGAAGCTTACAAAGATTTTATCAGTGAATTATATTTTTTGCCCTGCACAATGACTGTATTTTACAAAAAGAAGTGTATCTCAAATCATTTGCATTCTGAATTTTTTATGAATTCTGTTTTGGTGTGGTGGACCTAAAAACTGGTCCATGCAAGTTTGAGATATAATTTTTTATCAATTTTAAATATAATTTTCTAAGGTTTACATGATTCATATTATTTGTCCTATGAAAGGATAAGTTTATTTCAGTATTGCTACAGAAAATCTCTAGGAAATAAATTACTCATTAAATCCAGCTATTACCGTTTCACTAACAACTGACCATCCATAACAATATGTCTTGCAAGTAAATTGTTTGCAAATTAACATTAGGAACAGACAGTTCATTCCATGAGCATACTTATTTAGCAAGCATGTCAAATTCATTAGGGTAGGTTTGCCTTGGCCTGTGCTTGAAAATGGCATGATGCGTCTTCTCAGTTTGCATAAAGTCTTAAACTTAAGATAGTTATCACTGTGGTTTTCAAAGAATACAACTGCTGTCTCAGTGGTGTAGGAAGAAATTTTTAAGAACAACTACATAATTATAGCATATGACACTAAGTTTAGACTCTGAAATTGTTTCTTCTTGATCTCAATACTCTTCTTTCGAAAATTAAAATTATCTCTTTTTACTCAAAGTCCTCAAATAATTTCTTAAGAGCTTTCTGCTTTTATGAAATGAGCTCATGAAATGTTATTGTTTGTTTGTTTGTTTGTTTTAGGGATGGATCTTTACATGTGACATGCACAGATCAAGAGACCGGAAAATGCGAAGCAATCACTATTGAAGTGGCATCTTAGTGTTTTAGAGAAACCAGGAATTTTTAGAACTAGAATATCGTTATTATTTGGTTTTGTCTATAAGCGATGTTTATATTAAAATACTTTTTTTGAATGAACTATATATGTTTCTATTAAAATACAATATATTGATAAGTGTTGCAACCTTTTTTTGTTTTCCACTTACGATGGGAAATATAAGGACCTTTAGTAGTGAGAAATACAAGGAACTTTTTCTATCATGAAGCTATTTAGAATTAAATTGAGTGGATTGCAGGAAATTTTACTGGAAATTTAACATTGTGTTTTTTAAAAACTTTTGATTCTATAACTTCAAGTTTGAAGAAGTCTTTTATTCTTACTAGATCATGAAGAACAATTTAAAAGTCTTTGATAGTAGATGAAAAAAGTTGGAGAACCACGTGCAAAGTAAGATACCATTTTTGCTTAAACAAGTAAATTCATAAACTCAACAATTGTGTATAGATATGTGTGTGACAAGCATAGAATACAAAGTCTAGAAGGCTACCCATCAAACTCCTCTAACAGTGGCCTTTCTGTGGACAGAAATACTATAGGGTGGCACTTTTACTTTTTACAGTTTTGTTTAATTTGATTTTTCTCTCTAACAAATATGTTTTTCTTTTGAAATTAAAAGGTTGGTTTGTTTGTTTTTGAAGAGACGGCTAGCCACATTCTGTTCAATAGAGAACATTCACTAGTGCATTGAGATACTCACTGGGTTACTAATGAGAAGGTCATTCATTCACTAAGTAAAACAAGACAACTAACCTGTGAATATTGAAAAAAGAACTAGAAGGTGAGCAGTGCACATCAGACTCTATTATCAAGAGAGAATTTTCCATTCATTTCTTTCCTTGGTTCCCAGAAGATTTGAGAAGAGGAAATATCTTTACTCAGTGGTCAAATTTAAAAATTGTGCTGTTTTTATCTTGTTCAAACTGTGGAGGTGCTTTTTCATTATAGTTTATTTCTATGGACTTACGTGGCGGTAATATTCTATTTGTAAAGATACAGAAACAAACTCAAGGTTTTTCATTTATTCTGTATCAAATTATTGACAGAAAAAGAATTCAGATACGATTCTGAGTCCACAAAGAAGCAGGCTCAAAGGCATACACTTTTGATTAAGGATGAGTACTTAGTTATTTTTTAGGATCTTTTCCAAAGTTATAAAAACTTTGAAATCAAATAAATAAATATAAATTATTTTCAGAAAATAGGAAAATAGCATCTGAACTAGTTGAACTGCTAAGTCTATGCTTTCAGTTATGCTTTGGAAAGTGCTTTAGGATTTTATTTTGTAGTTACTGTTAGCTCTTTCAAATAGATCGGGCACTGGCAAACTGGCCAGTGTGTCAATTCTATGCCATTCCTATTTTTGTAAATAAAATTTTATTAAAATATAGCCAGGCTTAATGGTATATGTATTGTTGGTGGCTGTCTTCACACTATCATGGCAGATTGAATAGTTGCAACAGAGACTGTGTGGCCCACAAACGTTAAAATACTTACTGTCTGGCTCTTTACGGAAAATGTTTGTCAACGCCTGAAGTAGATTAATGAAACCTGTAGAATAAAATATCATAAAGATTTATTCAAGAGTTTTCTTTTCTTCCATATCCATGGAATAATTTACTTATTTGCTTTCTTTACTAGATTAGTAAGTATTGTGAGAGCAAAGACCATCTTAGTCACTATTATGTCCCAGCCTCTAGGTCACTACCTGAACATAGAGGTGTTAAGTAAAGGTCTATTGAATAAGTGAATTACATGGAAGAAAACAATAAGTCATCTTTGTATTCTATAGGACAATGGCCAGTAAGTACATCTTTTACATATTTTATGGTTTGTTTAGAAACATAAAAAAGGAAAGGAATACCTCTGCTTCTGGCTTTATTAGTCAGCTTTGCATGATTTTCTTCCCGAAACATATAAGATTTGAAATTGTCACCAATGGTGCTCTGGCTAATGAATGTACTCCAAATTTCCTTGCGTCCTCATGTGACAGGATTTTTTTCTTCTGAGTGAGGGAAGGTCTGCCAATTAACTTCTCTTGTGTTTCACTTTTTCAAGGTAAAAATAGCTTTAGCATTCTTCTAATTCTAAAATGATACACATCCATTATAAAATTCAAATTGCAAAAGAAGAAAATCTAAAACATCCTATATTCTATAACCCAGAGTAACAACCATTAAGATATTTTTGATGAACATCTTGATAATCTTTTCACGCACTTACCAGTATCACATATATTTAAAAACATGAGCACTTTTACCAGTAAAGCAAGAGGTTATGTCAAATTATAATTTTGCCTATCTACGTGTCTGATATTGTCTAAAGGATAGAGCCAAGTATACAAATAGAAATAAATGCCAATTGGGGCGCCTGGGTGGCGCAGTCGGTTAAGCATCCGACTTCAGCCAGGTCACGATCTCGCGGTCTGTGAGTTCGAGCCCCGCGTCGGGCTCTGGGCTGATGGCTCAGAGCCTGGAGCCTGTTTCCGATTCTGTGTCTCCCTCTCTCTGCCCCTCCCCCGTTCATGCTCTGTCTCTCTCTGTCCCAAAAATAAATAAACGTTGAAAAAAAAAAATTAAAAAAAAAAAAAGAAATAAATGCCAATATATAATACTGTGAAAGTCTTGAGAGGACACAACATACTTCATCACAAACTGAAAGCTTTTATATGTCGGAATTTTTAAGGATTAAAATAAAAAAGGATCAGCACAAAACAAAGTGTGGTAAAATGTCAGGATTTCTAAAATAACAGTGAGTAACCATGTCACAATACCATTGTCTGCTTTAATTCATTGTCTCATTTTTTAATTTTTTTAACGTTTATTTTTGAGACAGAGACAGAGCATGAACGGGGGAGGGTCAGAGAGAGGGAGACACAGAATGTGAAACAGGCTCCAGGCTCGGAGCTGTCAGCACAGAGCCCGACCCGGGGCTCGAACTCACGGACCGCGGGATCATGACCTGAGCTGAAGTTGGCCACTTAACCGACTGAGCCACCCAGGCACCCCCATTATCTCATTTTTTAATTGTGACCTCACCATAACTCCCTGAGTAGTGGCAAAATGCACAGAGCAATATTGCCTCTGTTATTTCTGTGTTCTACATGTGGGAAAAGATTCAGAGAAGTTAAAATAATTTATCCAAGGTCTCACAGTGAATGTGAATTTTGAACTCATATTCATAATGCTTTTTTGGTAAACTTAATTTTTCTTGACTGCTTCTAAACACTTTATGTGCATTATTTCACTTAAATTCACATTTTCCACTGTCCATTCTATTTTCTGCCTCTTGAAGAACATTCAAATGAAACAGAAGACAGCCCATGGGTCTCCAGATACTATGTTTGCAGTGGTCTTCATGAAAAAAGACAGGGGGGTTGGCATAATTCTGTCTGTTTTCCTTGAGAACATGGATGTAGGCCTCTGGCTTTTGATTTCCTTCACCATTTATAGCCAGAATTTACCAAGATCCTCAAACTTTTTAGTCTCAACTCTTCTACACCCTTAAAAATTATTGAGAACGTAAAGCTTCTATTTACATTGGATTTACGTATGTGTAGTTTTAGTTATATTTACCATATGGAAGTTAAAACCTAGAGATTTTAAAATAATCATTTTTAAACAAAAATTACATGTTAACTTAAGTAACATTTTTATGAAAGATAACTTTTACAAAAGATGAAGGGCCAAGTGTGGAGGTTTTCTTGCTTGCGTGTGGGAGGGGCAGAGGAAGAGGGGGAGAGAATCTTATGTGGAGCCCAACATGGGGCTCCATCTCACAACCATGAGATCATGACCTGAGCCAAAATCAAGAGTCAAACGCTTAACTGACCCAGGTGCCACCCAGGTGCCCTATGTTTTTTCAAATCTCTTTGATGTCGCCTTGAGGAGACCCTCTGTTTCTTCATTGAGTCTATTGCAGTATCTGAGTTGTGTATCCTCTGAGAAACTTCACTATATACTTGTGAGAGGAGAGTAAAGAAGGCAGGTGACATTGTGCTGTTATTATGAGAAGTTTGGAACTTACTAGGCCCCTGAAGAGCTGTTCCTAAAATAGTAGACACGGTGTTACCTCTTGAATAGAAAAGGTCTAATCTGTCCCCTGCAGTTAGTGGGGTTGAAGACGAAAAAATAAAGGAAACATGATTTACAAAAAAGTCTAATGCATTCTATAAATTTGGATCTGAGATTGATCAAGATCCAAAACCAGACAAGGTAACTATAAAATGTGGGAAGTGCATTTAGTGCATAGGAGAGAATGGAAGGCAAGAGTTAACTGCTTTAGATAGGGCAACCAGGAGAGGCCTCTGAAGAAGTGGAAGAAGTTAAGACCCAAGCGATAAGAAGGTAGCCATGTGAAGAGAGACAAGAGCTTGTCCTCTAGAAAGTAATTTAGAGTTGTCTTAAGATACTTAACTTACTATCTGCTTCTCCCACTAGGATATAAATTCTATGAAGACAGAGTCTTTCTTTCTTACCTATTTTTGGTACCTCAGACGGTGCCTGGCACATAGGAGATGCAGCATAAAAGATTTCTTCATGCGTGGAAAAAGTCCTAGAGAACAGTGAGAGTGGCACAAAGTAAGGTTAGGGTGGCAGCGTTCCAGTCACTTAAGGCTTGGTAAGCTATTTAAGGTTTGGATTTTATTCTAGGTACACTGGGCAGTATTTAGAGCAGGAGGACATGTTCTGCTTCATGACTTTAAGGTCACTCTGCCGGCTGTATGGAAAAAGGATTAGAGGGGAAGCAATAGTAGAAGTTAAACCAGGTAGTCAGTCTTTTGCAGGACTGCAGGTAGGAATGACAGCCTGTACTAAAGTCATAGCAGCGATGGAGAAAAGGGGCAGAAGCAATGTGTATTTTGGACATCGCATTGACAGGATGTGCTAATGAAATTATGGAATGAGGAGAGGGTAAATCAAGATGACACCTAGATTTCCTTCTTGGGACCCCTGAGTCAATCATAGTGCCAGTGTATTGAGAAAGTATGGGGGGCCTGCAGTGGAAAGGATCAGGTCTGGAAGCAAAAATCAAGGGCCTTTTTACGAACGTGTTCAATTTGAGATGTTTGTGCAAAACCTCAGAGGATATGTCAGCTAGGCACTGTGGATATTCAAATCTGGAGTTCAGGGAAGAGGTCAAGGCTGGAGACAAACAGTTGAGAATCTTAAGTATAAAGATGGTATATAAATTCATGGGAACCGAGGTAGTCACTTAGGGAGAGAACCTAAGAGAGGTCTTGGGGCCAAGCCCTGAGCAACCCTAGCAGTTTAGGTTAGTTAACGGGAGCCAAAAATGGGAGTGAAGAGAGGTCAAGAAAACCAAGAAAGAAACTGAGTCAGGATGGATGCTCCTGGGGTGTTGTAAAAACACAGGACAGGCAGTGAATACACTTGGGGAGGGAAGGAAGGCAGGCAATGTGGCTGTATCTAAGACTTAAAGGGTCTCTAGGAATAAATCTAGCAAAGATGGAGGAAGGGAGGCATTTTCTAGCATCAAGAGCAGAATCGAAGTCCTGGGGACAAGGAATATTTGAGGAGGTCACAAACTAATATAGGCAGGAGTGATGAGCAGTGAGGCTTGAGAAGCAGACAGGAACCACCATGTGGCAAAGGGGCTTCCATGTTATAGGGCTGGATAAGACCTTTTATTCCTTATCAAGGTAATAAGATGCTCATTATAGAAAATGGTTAAATATGTGAAAAACGATAAATCAAAAAGGAAATCACTCCCCAGAGATTTTATATTTATCTTCCTATATATTTTTACCTAGTTGAAACTTTTATAGGTTTCTGTTGTTGCTTTTTTGCTTTCCCCATGATACTAAAGGCTTCATAAACACCTGATTAGATGGCTAGACAGTGTTTCAGAACGGAATCAAATACATTAATTTCTTTAATGTTCTATGTTTACAGTAGTTCAAAGTTATACATGATGCTTTGAAATATTTTTATAATTTAAGACAAATTTCTTTTAAAAATCCTTGGTCGATGTCAAACGACTTTCTTCCTGTTTTCCCAATTGACTCTTCTAAGATTTCTGCATTAGATTGTTTATTTCATTTTTGAGAGAGAGAAAGCACATGTGGGAGAGGGACAGAGAGGGAAAGAGAGAATCCGAAGCAGGCTCCACACTGCCAGCGTAGGGCCCTATACGAGCTCTAACCCACAAACCATGAAATCATGACCTGAGCCAAGTCCAATGTTTACCGGACTGAGCCACTCAGGTATCTTGCCCGCTGCGTTAGATTGTTTAGAGTAATCACCATGGATGCGGTGTGAAGAATGGAAGATGGAAGGGGGGGACGGGGGACCGGTTAAGAGCTCTTAGTCATCCAATTCAGAGAACCTCGAGTCCTGCAGCCTTTCAACCAAGCTGTGCGCAGACTACCTGGCAGCTTATTAGAAAGGACAGAACCGGGGCGCCTGGGTGGCTTGGTCGGTTAAGCGTCCGACTTCGGCTCAGGTCATGATCTCACCGTCTGTGAGTTCGAGCCCCGCGTTGGGCTCTGGGCTGACAGCTCAGAGCCTGGAGCCTGTTTCCGATTCTGTGTCTCCCTCTCTCTCTGCTCCTCCCCTGTTCATGCTCTGTCTCTCTCTGTCTCAAAAATAAATAAAAACGTTAAAAAAAAAATTAAAAAAAAAAAAGAAAGGACAGAACCTCATGTCCCAGCCCAGACCGACCTAATTTGAATCTGCATTTTAACAAGCTCCCCAGAGGATTCCTATGCCAATCAAGTGTGCGAAGCACAGATGGAGACTGGTGGTTTCAAACTCCTGCACACGAGAATCACCTGGGGAGCTCTAAAAAATTCCAATGCTCGGGTCACACCCCCATACCAAATAAACCAATCTCAGCGAGTGGTACCAAAAACCAAAACGTCTCCAAGCGATCCCAACATGCAGTCAAAAAGAAAACCTTTATCTAGGGGTGTAGCGTGGAAGAAAACAATGGTTACTGGGACTCAGGTGGCCGAAGAAAAGGCACCGAAGGTAAACCTACTCTGCACCATACAGCTCCGCTCTACGTTTTGGATTTTGCACAACAAACAAGCAGTGGTCATGTGAAAGCACGAAAAACCGTGGGAAGGCCTGACGTTGCGCACTCCTCAATTAGGAGTTATCCCACGCCGTCGAAGGAGGCTGGCAGCTTAACCAGGAGGAGCGCCCGAACCCGAACCCGAACCGCGTACGCGCCCCGCCCACCTCCCCCAGCGACTCCCGCAACCTGCTGCGCGTCGGGATGCGACGTGGGGCGCATGCGCGCTCGCCGTGGCCGGGGTCGATCTTCGGTGACGTCAGGACGCCTCGCGGGCACCAGCCCCCAGCCCGGGCCCCCGACTCCCGCTCCGGCCGGGCGGGGGCGGGGCGTCGGGCCAGCTGAGCTATCCCGTCAGACCGCGCCAGTTTGAATGAAAGCTCCCTAAGATGGCGGCGGCTGGGGCCGAGGCGCGAGGAGGTGAGGGCTGGAGAGCGGCGTCCCTCACTATCCCCCGTTCTCCAGGCAAACTCCCGAGGCCCGGGAAGCGGGGCCGGGACCCGCGGACCCGCCAGAGCGCGACGCGGCGAGACGCCGCCTCCCGCCCTGCTGACACCTTGGCCCCCAAAGGCGCGCCGCGGGCTTCACCTATCCCCCGGCCCCTGACCCTTCTCGCGGCACGGCCCGCTCGCTCCCCGCAGTCTTCTGCGCCCCGCTTCCGCGGGGCCCGGCCCGCACGCCCTGCTCCGAGGTCGGCTGTCTCTCGCTCCGCGGACGTCCCGCGGACTCCGTGGCCCGACCCCCGCTGCCCGTTGGGCCCGAGGCCCCTCCCCGCCTGGTCGCCGTGTGGAGGTATTCGGGCGGCCGCCGCGGCTCCTGGTAATCCCTGGGGGAGGAGGGGGGCTCGAGGGCCTGTGGGCACGCGTGTGGTTTACTCCTTTGTGGTGGTTTGGGCGGGACGTTGTGTGTTCCGGCTGGCCTTTTAACTGGGAAGCGGGAAGTACCCGGTGGTGTAAACGTGACCTCGATAGCGGAGGAAAGAAAGAAATTGGGGCTGGAGTATAAACGCTAAGGAAATGAGGGAGCGTGCACCCCAGTTTGGACGCACTGGTAGGGTAAATTTCCTGTCGGAGAATAATATCCCAGTAAGTGGGTATTTGAAGACGTAGCCTCTGGCTTACGGTGATTGTTTTACCCACCGGGAACTTGCGTGTTATTTACGTGGACGCCAGAGAACTAGGTGCTGAGCCGCGCGCGCGCGTGTGTGTATGTGTGTGTGTCTGTGTGTGCGTGTGAGTGTGCGCGCGCGCGTGTCTGAAAGACGGGAATTTTCAAGACATTCTAGAATGTAGAGGTGTTTTCCAGCACTCCTCTCCACCTAGATTATCATGTCTTTATCCCCCAACTTTTCTTCCACTAGGGATTAGTGTGAACCTAGTGTGAGGTTTTTGTAGTGGTAATGAAATGTTAAATCTTGCAAATGAATTATTTTCTACATTATTGTAGATAATAGAATTGTTACCAGGGATTTGCGGTTTTTTATGTTCCAGGGTGTTGTTTGTTTGTTTCTCAAAAATAGCATTTCCGTCGAGAGTTGTCTTGAATCCTCAAGTTACTTAAACTAGATAAAAATGGTAGGAACAACAGACATACACACCTTGGGTCGATATCCAACAGGAACCTCCTTTGCACGTGATCAGCATAGTGAGGTTAACTTTACACAAAACACCCCGAAGTTTTCTAAATGGAAGACTTGTAAGTGGTCATTTGTGTTAAACCACTCTTGTACCCTCAAACCGCCACTCCGCAGCAAGCAATCTCTCCGCCAATCTTGGGGGGGGGGGAGAAATACCTTTCATTTTCTCGGTCTCGAATTACGAACCTTTTGTAGGAAGCGGGGTGGTGGAAATCCTGCTTCAAGGTTTCTGACAATGAAGCCCCTGTGTGAGTTGGGGAGGGTGAGGGAAGGCTGTGGTGAGAGCAGCTGTGTTCTCTCTTCCTTGGAAATTACCTCAAAACAAAAGGTTATCACAACTACCTTGGAGAGCTACCAAAGAAAGCTTGAGTTTATTGATAGATTTTGTTTGGTTAATTCCGATTTACTCCAACCCTCACATTTTTCCAGTGAGTCTGAAATCCAGAAAGATGGGACTCTCGTGTGGCAGGGGCAGAGCACCCTTGATTGTTTCTAGTGCTTACCGTAACACTAGTCGTAAAACCAAGTTTATTATATATTTCTAAACATCCACTTGTGTTAACGTATTTTACATGCCGTATGGTAGCACACTGTTTACAGAAATTTCGGAGTAAAATCTTCTGCAGCACATTTAGTTACTGGCTTCTGTAAGGTTAATTATGAGTGTGTCTGATTTTCTTTAAGCTTGGTATATGGATTATGTAAATTGAATACACTGTTTTGTAAACCTTGGCTTTAAAAACAACACAGGAAATGAGTATTATGAAAATATATTCCCCATTATTTATTATAACTCTAGGGCTTATTTACCTTGATAATAATACATTACAGCAGAGGCAAAGTAATAAATGGAGTTAAAATTTCATGCAGCTTTCCAGAATGGGGAAAGTAGGACATGTGATGTATGAGTATGTGACTATGGAACTATATTTCAATTAGATTTCAGTTCTTATTGTCCAGCTAAGGTAAAGGGGACTAGTTCTTTTTAACAACGTATAAGGCTGCTTTAAAATCTATTTAAGATATTTTTACTAACAATAAGTTTGTCTTAGGAATCTACATTTTGTCAAACCAGCAATTCTATGTAGAATATAATGGAAAAGTCAAAAACATTATCTCTGTTGTCCTTTGTATCTATATGTAATTTTAGGAAAGCTTACAGACTTGAAACTGTTCGGTCAGGGGGCTTAGTAGAAATGAATTGACATTAGTTAAGTATAGTAGAATAGAGATCCATGAGAAAATCCAAGAAGACCAATTTATCAAAAACAGTTCTTTAATGCTTAACTTTTCTGGAAGACACATAAATGGTTTCTTGTCATATGAATTTTTAGTCCTGTAAAATTGCCAGTTGAAGGGTGGGGATATGGAGGTCTTAAGTTTTTCCTTTTTTTTTTTTTTTTTTTTTTTTTTTTTTTTTTTGGTTTTAATTGAGTAGCTATTTCATTAGTAAAGAATTCTATTTTCTTATTGTAGCTTGGTGTGTGCCTTGCCTAGTTTCACTTGATACTCTTCAGGAATTATGTAGAAAAGAAAAACTCACATGTAAATCGATTGGAATCACCAAAAGGAATCTAAACAATTATGAGGTGGAATACTTGTGTGACTACAAGGTAGTAAAGGTAAGGCAAATATCTAGCCCCTTAAAAGAGACCTAATCAGACTTCAATTCAGTATTTCATATTTCTGTAACATAAAAAGACCTTAAAAGTAAGCAAAAGCTCTTCTTAATGTTAAAAATTCTAAGCCATAATAAATTTATATGTCCTATCATCTATATTGCCAAATAACATTGAGAGGATTTTGAAGCATTAAATGTTCTTGCATTAGAATATTTTAAGGTGCTTATATCATTCTACATCCAACTCTTGATTATCTCCGTGTGGATTACCAGAGCAAATGTTTTATCTCATATTGGCTTTTCCTGTCATTCATTTTGTTCCTGAATCATATTTCCCCACTATCACCTGAAATAAACAGAGAAATTCAAACCCAATTTTAGTGCTGAATCTCCTCATGAAGCATCACCATCGTGTATGTCCTGTATTGTGTCAAACTCCAGATATTAGTGAGGCTCTGTGGTCTAATAGAATGGCCTGGAGTTCAAAGTCATTTCTCATCTTCGATTGGTACCTTGTGGCTTCATCAAAGTCATTTCGCTTCTCTGGGCCTCACTTGATTCCTGTTTCTCTCAAATGACAGGGTTGTTTTCTTAAGAACCTTCTTCAATCTAAACCTTACGATATATTTTTGAGTAATTCATTTTTCTCCAGAGTAGCCTGCTCCCTGTGTGGAACTCTTTTTTGGTCGTTTGTCAGTTCTTCCAGACAAATGAATTAGGACTCCTCCTCCTCCATCTTCCATACCAATTCAGTCATTAAATCTAGTTCTTCCTTTGCGACATCCGCCATCTTTTCATGTAACTGCCTTTCCCGCTCAGTGGGATTTTATGATCAAGCATTTCACCTATACTCTTGGCAACCTTCAACCTAAAAACAGCCCAGTCATCTTCCATCTCAGTGTTTAAATGGTGGTCTGACCAATCTACCCAAGAGTATCCTATAGTCACACATATTGGTGCCAGTAATGTCTGTTTCTAGTCTCACTCCGCTCCATTCTACTAAAGCCTTTTTCTGTTGCTTTCTTTTCCTTTTCTTGTCAGCAGTTTTTCCAACTTTTATTACTTTTCTGGACTTCTTACTCTATCCTTCACCTTCATATTCAGCCACAGACCTCTTCTACCTCAGTTAATCTTTCACTTCAGTGAAAAATAGGATCCTGCAAGTATGAATTCTCAACTTAGCTTCACACAAGTTCTCTGTAACTTTGCTGTTACTGTTTTTCCTTTTTTAGTCCTTTCCATCCCCTTTAAAGGACTTTGCTTAATCTGTGATGTTTTTGTTTGTGTGTGTGTGTGTTTCTGCCCCCCTTCCCCCTTATTAAGCTCTTTTTCCACTGACCTCTCTCAATCAGTAAAACCTATTCAGGTCTTCCCCAACCTCTCTTTGACCTCGTGTCCCTACTCACGCATTTCCTGTCTTTGCTTCTACCTCATTTTCCATTAATTTTTAAAAACAGCTTTGTTGAGATGTAATTCACAAAGCATACAATTCATTAATTTGAAGTATACAATTCATAGCTTTTAGCACGCTCTCAGAGTTCTTCTGAAGTTGACTGTGGTGATGGTTACACATTGTCATTACCCTGAAAAGGAACTCCACTCTGTTCACTCATCACTCCCTAATCCTTCCCAGTCTCCTTACCCCACTAGCCCTAGCCCTAGGCAACCACTCATCTACTTTCTGTCTCTATTATAGATTCCCTGTTTGGGCAATTCATGTAAATAGAACATTACAATCTGTATGTGTTTCTTTGTAATTGGTTTCTTTAACTTAGCGTGGTGTTTTCAAGGTTCGTCTATGTTGTAGTATGTATCAATACATCATTCCCTTTTGTTGCCAAATATTCCACTATAGGACTATCACTTTTAATTTACCTATTGATCACTTAGACATTTTGGTTGTTTTTGTTTGGGGGTTATAAATAATGCTATTATGAACATGCATGTACAGGTTTTTGCGTAGATGTGTTTTCACTTCTCTTGATACATACCTAGGAGTTGAATTGTTGAGTCATATAGTTTCTCTGTGATTAACCATTTGAGGAACTGCCAACCTTTTCCAGAGGGACAGCACCATTTTACATGGAACTAGCAGTGTTACAAGTATTTGAATTTCTCTACCCCTCACCTGCACGTTTTATTATCTGACACTTTTGATTATTGCTATCCTAGTGGGAATGGAGTAGTACCTCCTTATGATTTTGATTTGCATTTCTCTGATGGCTAATGATGCTGAACATCTTTTCATCTGCTTTTTAGTCATTTGTATATCTTTGGAGAACTGTCTATTCAGAGCCTTTGCCCATTTTTAAAAATTGGGTTGGCTTTTTTTTTTATTATTGAGTCATAATAGTTCTTTACATATGCTAGATAGTCCCTCACGAGATACACAGTTTGTAAATATTTTCTCCTGGGAATTGTCTCTTCACTTCTCATTAACTAATTGCCAATATGAGCACCTCAAATCTTACTCTCCTTCATAGCAACATCTAACACTGTTGACCTTCCTTTCCTTCTTTGAAATTTTCTTGTCCATGGAGAGACTGCCTAGGTTCACACTCTGGCTCTACCGTTTATTAGTTGAGTGACTTTCAGCAAATTACTTAGCCTCCCTGTCTTTCCATTTCTTCACCTGTAAAATGAGGATAGTTATGGTACCCAACTCATAAGGGTGGGGACCGCCGTAGGGTTAAATGAGTGGATGTAAGTATATCCTTACAACAGAGACTGACCTATGATGTTCATATTGAAGAAATGTTTTCTGTCATTGTTGTTCACCTCTGTCTCCACCTGTTTTTCTTACTACTCTTCCGGAATCTCCTTGTTGTCTCTTCTCTGTCCTTTCTCGGAAATGTAGATAATCTCCATAGCTGTGTCCTTGGCCCTCTTCTCACCTTGAAGTGGCTCTGTAGATGCCCTCTTTCCCAGTGCTTTCTACTTCTGTCTGTTTGATTCATGACTCCCAAATCTTTGTGAGGCATTGACCTCTTTATGGACTTCATTTCAAAGTAGACACTATCCAGGTGCCCAAATTCAGCGTGTTTAAACTGTACCAATTTTCCTCCTCAAATCTGTACCCTGAGCTAGGATTCCCTATCTAGATTACCAAAACCAGAATACTTCCAGTTACCTAACCTTGTAATTTTATACATTTTTAATTCCTCCCTCCTCCCTACCCGCTCGTAGGTCATCAGATTATATTGTCTCTCTTTGTCTTTTCTTGTTCATTCTTTTCCTGTTCAACTGTACTTTCACAAAGCTAGTTTCCTAGGGGTCTGTATTGAGCTTGAAGGAACTACCATTATTCTTATACAGGATTCTGAGTGTTGTGGTTAGATTTTGGATAGTTTTTGCGCTTTGGTTTCTCCTTTGTCCTTCTCATCAATCCTTTTGGTTTTTTGTTTGGAATAAGCAACCTTACTTGCACACTTAGGTCCTCACTATGCCACTTACATCCCTCATTTCTTCTCCTTTCTAGCACAAATTGTTTAATCTATAGGACAGTATTATTTCATCATACCTCTACTTTTTTTTTCTCTGTCTCCCCACTCCTGTTCAGGGCGAGTGAAAGATCTTATGACACTGTCCTTTTATTGTGTGTACCCCTCCATTTAGCTCATCAGAGACACTATTTCACTACCATATTCCTCAAAGCCATTAACAGTTTTTCTAAAACACAGTTCTGGTTGCTTTAGGTAGGGCCTTGCTTTAGACCTTTTAATGACTTGTCTACCAATCTAAGACGAGACCCTTTGAACTAAGGTCCTTTATTATCTGGCCACCAACTACCTTTCCAGCCTCATCGCTTGTCACATATCACGCTTTCTATCCACACTGCAATACTCCTAAACTCTTTGATTTAGCTAAGGTTTACTGAGCACCTACTATGAGCTGGGCACTCTTCTAAACATTGGGAACATAGCTTATATTCCAATTCGTTGAACACATTATGTACCCTTGTGCCCTTTTGCTGTTCTTGTCTTGTTCCCTCTTTAGAATACTATTGTTTCCCTCCTTGACAAAATTCTCTTTGGCCTACAAGGTTCAGCTGAAAGGTTACCACCTATTACTGAGCCTTCCCCCATATCCCTAAAATTAATTGCTTTATATTCAGGACTTAGAAAGCACTGTTCTTGTTATTAGTCTAGAACTTGACATATTTTATAGCTTGGTTTCATACCTTCTGTGCTAAATTGTCAACTATTTAGGGCCAGGACTATGTCTTACTGTAGTCTCTAGTACAAAGTGGGTATTAAGTTAGTGGCTAATGAATTTAACTGGCTTCTGCATTAGTGATTTCTCCACTCTTCACAGTCACCAATAGACTAGACCCTTTTAGCTTCATGCTCAGATTATAGCAGCAGTCTGTTGATTAATAGCTCCTATATCATCTTGCTGTAGTCTCAGTAAATATTTGAGTTTCTTCTGTGTGTGGATACTATATTAGGCACTGGGAAAAATAAAAGATTAATCAGAAACTGTCTCTCATCTTGAACTCACAGCCTACTGGAAAGATTGACAAGTAAACCATGGCAATATAGCATAATAAGTGCAGGGGGAGGTGCACCTGGGCTAGGCCACAGAAGGCTTCCCAGAAGGGATATCCCACTGAGGCCTGAAAAGACAGGTACGGTAACTCACAGTTTTTGTACAGAGAATGGAGTGCTAGAATGTGGGATTGGGAAAGAATGAGATGAGTGAAGAACTTTCAGCATTCTACAGCAATGGGGAGTCATATGAAAGGTTTTAAAAAGAGGGATACAATCAGATACATAATTCAGAGAACTTTCTGCAGTGAGGAATGTAGGAGGGGAATGACACACACACTTAAACATTCTGAAAAGCTGTTACAGTAGTCTAGGCAAGAAATAGTGGTGCTTAAAGTAGTAATAATGGAGGTGAAGAGAAATAAGTAATTTTTTTTATTCTCATGGTTACAAAATGTACAAGTGTGGTTGAGTGGTCAGAGGATTGGGTAGGGATCCAGCAGTGTGGGATCAC